GGGGGGGATGCTGAAAGCCAGCTACTTTGATACTCGTATTCAGTTCTGAACATACAGGTCCAGCTAGTGCACGTTGAGTATTCAACATAATGAGATTCGGGTGGCATTAAAATTTAACTAAATATCGAGACAAACATAGTTCTTGCAAATTCAAACAGACACATTTACGAGAACGAGAACAACATTCAATACCAAAACTAAAACACTAACAGTGCAATGTGATAGAGCACCATAATAATCGAAATGATGTCTCGGAATTTATGGTTTATACAATTGAACCTGTCCAAGACGGCCACCCATTGCCGAGGAGAAAAATTGCCATCTTAGATAGGTAGTCCTCCCAGACAGAGTCATTATTATAATATCATTAAAATTAATAGAAAACAATATAGGTGGAGGAGGGGGCGTGGGAAGTGGTTCAGCTGATTGCATTGGACATTAGAGCAGGTTTGATTGCTCTAAATGACATGGTATATATAACAACATCGTTGAATTCTAAGAGGTCTACCTGCGTTTTGTGGGTGTTGAAAGTTCCCGTTTGTTGCGGGTTATGTTGGCAACGAACTACATGGGGATTCGCGTTTTGTTGTGAAATGACATTCCAGCTACGAGGACAATGAAAATGAAAAATGATTTTGTCTGCTTTTGCGTTTAAAATTTACAAACTCTTAACTTTAATTTTAGTAAGAGTTTTACGACACCCACAACACAATTCGATCCTTTAGGTACCGAAGATTAGAGGTGTTACTAGTAAAGAGTAACATACAAAGAAAAGAAGGAGGAGAGGTGCGGACGTTATCTCTTTAATAGGAAAGAAGGAGAATACCACACTGGTTCACTCACTAACCACCTACTCACAAACTCAGACGTCAAATATTAAGACAACATTTGAAATAATAGAATATTGATGAAGATAGAAACCCTTTAACATTATAACAATATGACGATACAGTAACTCTCCTTACCTGGAGATAAGAGAGGTGACGATGGCTTGGATGACGTGATGTCCAGTTCATGATTGGGCGACATGACGTCATGAGCCCTGCTCTCTCCACAGTCGTCATCGTCCTCGGGATTGTCTACGTCATCACTGCCGTCCTCGCTCCTGTTGCGAGGTGACCATGTCATCTTGTTCTCCTTCTTGAGCCGTCTCCTGGCGTTGGCGAACCAGGTCGACACCTGTTGGCGGGATTATGGGAAGGTTTTGTTTTTTAAAAATAAATTTCAATTACTCAAAACAGTGAGAGTTTCGCTCAAAGCGTGTATTTTTTTCTTGTTGTTGCACAAATACACTCTCTCTTTCTCTTTCTTTCTTTCTTTCTTTCTTTCTTTCTTTCTTTCTTTCTTTCTTTCTTTCTTTCCTTCTTTCTTTCTTTCTCTCTCTCTCTCATATACAAAATGTACACAAACACACACCAAACTCACACACACAACCCCACCCTAACCACACACCACACACAAAAGAACACACACACACACACACACACACACACAAACGCACACACACACACACACACCCGCACAAACCTGAGTGAGCGTCATCTTGGTGATGATAGCCAGCATAATCTTCTCTCCCTTGGTCGGGTACGGGTTTTTCCGATGTTCATACAGCCACGCCTTCAGAGTGTTGGTGTTCTCGCGAGTCGCGTTCTTCCTGCGGGCTGCACTATTGATGTCAACTGTGCCATATCTGAACACGTATACGTTTGGATAAATACAAGGACATGCCAACAGCTGAACAATAATATAAAAAGTTAAATATGATGACAAAAGTTGAACTTGACAGACGTTAAATTATTGTTATGATCATAAAACAAAAACAATGACAAAGGTTTGATTTTGTTATAAAATATGTACTAGGACAGGGTTTGATTATGGTCTTCAAAATTGTTGAAGTGTTTTTGAGAAAGACAGGAAGTTGTAATGAAAATGCTGAAAGAGACATTGAGACTGTGGTGATGACAAACGTTCTTTCGAGATCATAAAAATCGCTACACCACAGACGCCGAAAAAGTTGTAATTAATTCTGCGAAAAGTAAGAAAAGCATTGCAAGAATAATATCGTTATATAATCATAAGAAAGACTGGAAGTTATCACGAGAAAAGAGGACTTGGTTTTTAAAAAAAATAACAGTAGTTCTGAAAGTTGAAGAGCCAACTTCTGAAACTGAAATACAAAATCTGTAAAAGGCTTGACATGAACCAAATAATTATACAACGTTTAACCCTTTCGGTTCATATTTTTTCTATGGTTCCGTCAAATCAGTACAGTAAAAAAAAAAAAACCAATGCGTCATTATAGTGGGGCGTAGAAGAGTAAGAGTTTTTTTAAGTTGTTTATTTTCCAGTATTCTTTTTTCAGGTGTCATATCAATAACTTTTTTGGTGTCAGACAATCAATGTCTATGAGAATGTGAGAAAGTAGATCCCATGTACCATTATTTTTTAACACTAAGATGAAAAAGTAAAATGAAAATAAAAAACCCAGCCGAAAAAGAATGAACTTGAAGAAAGGAGAGGTGGAACACACGACAAACACTAACACAATAAATGCTTACGCGTTCGGGTACGGGTACGGTGGCATGCTGGTAGGGTCGTAAGGGTAACAGGCTGTGGTCTGTCCAATGCCACGCCATGTTTCCCCGGCTTCCTTCAGCTCGTATGGGGAGTTCTAGAGGGGGAGAGGGAAACCAGTAATGTCAAAGAGATATAATGTTGAAATGTTTGCAGCTCGAGAGAGACCGTGCTCGTGGGAGTGACCGTGAGTCTCTCTCTCTCTCTCTGTGTGTGTGTGTGTGTGTGTGTGTGTGTGTGTGTGTGTGTGTGTGTGTTGTATGTTTGTGCGTTTGCGTGAGAGAAAGAAAGAAAGAGAGAGAGAGTGTGTGTGTGTGTGTGTGTGTGTGTGTGTGTGTGTGTGTGTGTGTGTGTGTTGTATGTTTGTGCGTTTGCGTGAGAGAAAGAAAGAAAGAGAGAGAGAGTGTGTGTGTGTGTGTGTGTGTGTGTGTGTGTGTGTGTGTATGTGTGTGTGAGTGTGTCTGTGTGTATGATTGTGAGTGGGTGCATGTGTGAGAAAGCTGGAGGGAGAGACAGACAAAGAGAGAGAGAGAGAAAGGGAGAGAGAGAGTGGAAGACAGAAAGAGAAAAAGAGAGAGAGAGAAAGAGAGAGAGAGAGAGAGAGAGAGAGAGAGAGAGAGAGGGGGGGAGAGAAAGAGAGAGAGAGAGAGAGAGAGAGAGAGAGAGAGAGAGAGAGAGAGTGAGAGAGAGAGAAAAAGAGAGGTGTATGCCCGCGTGCATATGGATGCCAATATTGGTATTGTGTTATTCGAGCGATCCTTGTTCAAAAGCTCAGGCATCATTTCTAAACCTTGCACTACTTGGTGTGTTTTCAAGGCTCCCCACCTATTTGACAAATTTGTATCGAGGACACTATAAAACTGGAGAAAAAAAAACAAACTAAAATAGCATACGTTAACCTACAGAGTGTTAACCCCGTTGCCGATGATACACTATCTATATAGGAAAGAACCCCCCCCCCCCCACCTCCAGGAAACCCCATAACTTCTCAAGAAACCAGAAACGCCATTCGATGGACGCCAGATAGCTAAACATGGGAGAATTAATCTGTTACACGTTGAACAGCTAATAATAGAGAACAGTTATAAGATGACAGGGAGAGTTAGTGCTGATAAGAACGAGGCGGAGTCGAGTCGAGGATACCGCCCAGACACCCGCTGTTCCCCCAACCTCATTGGCAGGATCAGAAAACGACGTTGCCTTGTGAAAAGATTAAGTACCTCTTGCAATCATTCTCGAAGGGCACGAGGAGGGTGAAGGACGATTTGAATAAACCCGATATTTGAGATAAAGGCTATGGTATTTCAATGTGTCAGATGACTCAAGAGGAGGCTTTGGGGTGTTTCATAATTATGAGTGGTTTTAAAAGGTCAGAACGGTTTCCCAACACCCAAGGACGCAGAGGACAACAAGCGGGAAGGAGAAAGAGGGGAGGGGGGGGGGCAGTATTTCAACATTTACAGCATTAAAATCAGCTTCAGCTGAAATACAACAGTAGTAGCACAACAAAAGACCAAAAAAACAAAACAAAACAAATCAAGCAAAAAACTATAACGAGGACGGGGATGATCCCACTAACAAATACAAGTCAGTACATATGAGCCACAAGTCAATGACATCGTACTCTTGGCATAGTTTTTACTTTATTGCTTGAAGAGGATTCCAGTCCTTTTGTAGGACTTTATTGCCAATGAGAAAACCTTTCGGGCTCACTTCTTTATTTCATTTAATGCATCATTTGGAAAAGCAGCAGCTGTTATCGGTACAGAGGGGTGAGTATCAAAACTTTAGAATAGATGAAAGAAAAACAAATCGCCCCAGAGGTCAGGATATTGTCATGAATGCTTCTACAAAACAGTTCGTAACTTGATACAACTAACTTGACATCACCTGACATCTGTAACACCTTCATGGACAGAACACAGACTTTCCAGGACTTTTCAGCATAATACTAATAGGGGAAAGGCCTGGCAGCGAAGGAATAATCACCACAATGTAACAAAACAGAAGCGTTTATGTAACAGCAATACGAGAAGGACAGATGGTCATAGTTCTCATTTTTCTGGCTTACTCTTTTAAACGACAGGTAAAGAGTGAAGAACATGCGATATAATGTTGAAGCTAACTGAAGCGTCTCGGCTGATGATCTTAGCTGGACAGTCCCTGAACACATTGCCTGAGGGAGTTCCTGGATCGTTTTATCATAGTACTGGATACAGAAAATAGGACGCTGCCCTGTGGGAACCAGCAATGGAAGGGTCGTGAAATAATCCTGCTTTGATATGATATTGTATCTTTGGTATTCTACGTATGTATGTTTGTGTGTTTGATTATGTATTTACGTATGTATACCATTGTAACCTAAATTCCCTCCGGGAATCAATAAAGTTGTATTGGCTGATTGATTGATTGATTGATTGAAGTAATTATTTATGTACGTATTTATGTATTTGTTTATTTATTATGAAAGAAGCCTATATTATAGCCCCTTTTGATAGTTAACTTGCTTTGCGCAAAAACAAAGTTTCATCAAATACACTCCAACCTGCTCAAACAACATCTGTCCAAGACAAACACCTGTACACACGGTAAATTCCCACTCCCTCCCTTACGTTTCAACATACTATGGTGACACCCACCCACATATGGACCCCACCTGCTTGAGACAACGACTTTTCTCTTCCATAACGGCTGACCGTCTTGGACAATTTCGACTGTTATTGATTTGACCCACAGCAGACGACCCAGTAACTCCCTCTAGGTGGTGACTCATCCCACAACACACAGAGTCCAGACTGGCCAGGTGACCCTGGACGCCAGCAGTGATGGGATGTGTGCAGGACAAGCCGTTATGTGTGACGTGTCTATGCTACAACCCAGAAATGATGCACCTTTCCTGATAAGCAGATTAGAGGATAGGCATCAAAACGAAACCAGAAACTTATACAGGACGTGTAAATAATATTAAGGGCAAAACTACTAAGTAATCTATGATGGTGTAATTCCTTTGGAGTCTTTTTCACCCCCCCCCCCCCTGAACACACACACACAAGCGCGGGAGATATCTGTACACACCACCTGTCCTGCTGAAGATGGGGCTAGGAAAGTTGCTTCGATATTTTGTCATTTGTCCAACTGGACACAGGTTTGACTGGTTATCTGGAGAAAATGGTGAAATGGTATAGGTTTAACACCCCTATCAACACTGTTAGGTTATTTCAGTCGCAGGACTCCCATGTTTAACGTCCATCTCCGAAACGACCCAGCCAAATGGAAATTCGTGTTAAGTCGGGTAGTCTAACCACTAGGTCATCGACGCAACTTCTGCTTATCTGGCTATTTCCTGAATGCAAAAAAATCATATTGATAATAAGACATTTAAACTGAACCTGCATGCATACATAAATAAGGAGACAGTAGTAGACACACAGCGACATTTACACATGAACAAATTTTTTTCAATAATAGAAATATGATTAACAAAATTCTTAAAGTGGCTCTTTATCAACATTTGTAAGAGAAATAATTAATAAATGTATAACGCACAAATTCTCACACGCCCATTTGTATGAAAGCAAAAACAACGCATACACGGGGCATTCGGTGTGTTTCCACCACTATATACTATATCAGAAATACACTTCATATGAACTACACTGGGTTTGTGGATTGAAAAACAAAAAGGCGAACACAATATAGCCAACATACACAAAATATTTTTAACATTTATAAAAGGAAAACAAAAACCCACCACTCTCTCCTTCCTGATGTCAAAACAGTAACTCTTATCACAATGAAAGAAGTGTATATTTCTTCACTATTGAGCTAACTTGACTAGACTAGAACGTCAAGACACCCAAAAGAAAGTATATAATTTTTGGCTTCTCTTTTTAACATAATTATTTTTTTAAGATGGAGCATTCATAATTTATTCATTATCACATTTAGGCAATTGTATTTCAAGACATTTTTCCCGTTTATTGTTATGTAATATAAATTAACACTTCCTTTATTGTCTGCAATCCTTTAAATAGATTTCAATATTCAAGATGTTATCTCGAACACACAGTAAAATAAAAATTGAATGCGCAAACGATTAATCTACACCCTGTTAAACATACAGACGCCAATTCGAGATAAGAGGATTCTCCACGTGCTAAGCTGCACCTTACGGTTCCGGGTGAATGACAACCCCCTTGAACAAACGCCCCTGAGAAACTTTTCCCTGTGCCTGGATCCTATGTTATGCATGCAATGATGGAGGGCATCTTTCGAGATGGGAATAATAAAGATAAATGTGTTTGTATTGCGTTATACTATAAATTTCTAATTCCCCAAACGTCTTCAAAGTGTGTCTTTATCTAACTGATTCTGAAAATTCTTGAAATACCTGAATATCAAGTTGTTTCGCGACAGATAATCACGTGCTTCCTCAGCTTACTTGTACCTAAGTAGGTCACCGGAAGTGCAGAAAAAAACCCACGCCAAAATGCAATGCCAAAGTGTCATCCCTCTTTGACATGCCCTTCAAAGGACGGAGGTGAAAACTATATGTCACTTCGCAACATTTTCACACCATTTCCAACACATTCGAGGAATTTGCATGCACATCAGTTATAGGATACCAGCAGTGTTTGTAGTTTTTTTTATTCCTAGCACTTGCCACGTTATGTAACGCAAATGTTTGTTGGCGGTGACACGATGCAAATCTAGAAACAGATATCATCGCCTTTCTTAAAAAATAAACTTGTACAAAGCAAGTAATTGTAATACAGAATTATACGAAACCATTATATGCAGACTGACATCGCTGTTCATTCTTAATAGTGTGGGCGTTTTATTGCGACGGCTATATTTACTCGTACTAGCTATATCGGGAAGTAAACATTCTTTTATCTGGTTTATTCACCATTATCAAAAAATAAATTCTCGGATGACTGATATTTGTGGATAGTAGGTGTCGTTTCTGGCCTTGAAGGACTAGTCTAACTGCTAATAACACCGCTTTTGATAATACTGAGATCATGGGTTTCTTCTCTTTAACTGTTGCTGCTTTAACCTTTTGGCTCGGCTATAAAACAAACATAAAATCACTAG